TATGGTGGTGGGTGCCTGTAGTCCCAGCTACTAGGGAGACTGAGGCAGAAGAATTGCTTGAACCCGGGAGGCAGAGGTTGCAGAGAGCCAAGATCGAGCTACTGCACTCCAGCCTGGGCGACAGAGCGAGATTCCATGCCAAAAAGAAAAGAAATGGGGGCCCCTACCCTCCCTCAAGACCTGGGTGCCCTTAGGTATCGATGCCCCTTGAGCCTAATTATGACACCCCCAGTCTCAGTCATTCCCTTATCCCCTCATCACCAAGCCAGAGGTCTCCACTCTCCCTCCAAGGAGGACCCAGATGTCCCCACTATAGCCCTTGGAAAGCCCACTATGTACTTCACAGTCTTAGTGTCCGCCAGCTCCTATGTGAAGGGCTTCCCAGGGACTAATGTGAATCATCGAGCCAGAACCCTGTGCCACCAGAGGGACTACTGTGACCACGGAGGCACGGGGCAGTTAAATCTCTTCCCTGCAAGTGGCCGAGTGGGGATTTGAACCCAGGCTGTCTGGTTGCTGAGTCAGGGTTTTCCACTATTTCATGCTGCCTGCAATATCCAGGCCTTCAGCACCTCTGTGTCCCCCAGGTTCGCCACAGTGGCCTAGCAGGTCAGCCCTCCTGCACCCAGCACCCAGAAAATTCCCCAGGACCCAGAAATGTAGCTGCCCACAGTGCCCTATGGGACATCCACCACTGATCTTAGAGCCAAACTGCCGTGGACATTTGGGCACCGCAGTGTCGCAGCTCAGGGGACAATGTTCTGTGTTACAAACGTGATTTGTAGGCCAGGCACGGTGGCTCATGGCCTGTAACCCCAGCACTGTGGGAGGCCGAGGCTGGGGGATCACCCGATGTCAGGGGTTCCAGACCAGCCTGGCCAACTTGGTAAAAAGATGAAAATTAGCCAGGTGTGGTGGCGGGCGCCTGTAATCCCAGCTACTCTGGAGGCTGAGGCAGGAGAATAGCTTGAGCGCTGGAGGCCGAAGTTGCAGTGAGCTGATATTGTGCCACTGCATTCCAGCCTGGGCAACAACAGAGCAAGACTTCGTCTTTAAAAAGAGAAAAAAAAAAAAGCAGGGTGTGGTGGCTCACGCTTGTACTCCTAGCACTTTGGGAGGCTGAGGCAGGTGGATCACAAGGTTAGAAGATCGAGACCATCTTGGCTGACGCGGTGAAAGTACATCTCTACTAAAAATACAAAAAATTAGCTGGGCGTGGTGGGCGCCTGTAGTCCCAGCTACTCGGGAGGCCGAGGCAGGAGAATTGCTTGAACCCGGGAGGTGGAGTTTGCAGTGAGCTGAGATCGCACCCCTGCACTGCAGCCTGGGCGACAGAGCGAGACTCCGTCTCAAACACAAAAACAAAAACAAAACAAAAAAACCCCAAAAAAACAAAAAAGAAAAACAAGCAAACATATGATTTGTGATAACAATTTTCCAGCATTTAGGAGCCAGGAATCTCAAGAAGGGGCTGGGGATCTCATGGAGGGACAGCGTTTTGCTCTTTCACACATCGGTGCGGTTTGAGCAGCAGTGTATGTCTGGGAGTCTCCCCTTTAGTGTCCCCTGAATGTTAAACTCCCAGCCCCCAGAGCACTTTACTCCCAGATTCCGGATGTCAGGCTTCCCACACCCTCTGAATGTCCCCCGAACCAGCTTTCGTTCACACATCCACCTCCCCTCTCCCCACCCCCAGCTGGTGGCCGTGGTCATGGACGTCTTCACTGACCCAGACCTGCTTTTGGACTTGGTGGATGCTGCCATGCGCCGCTGGGTACCTGTCTACCTGCTCCTGGACCGCCAGCAGCTGCCTGCCTTCCTGGAGCTGGCCCAGCAGCTGGGGGTGAACCCCTGGGCCACGGAGGTAGGGGCCGGGCCAGGGGGACCTGTGAGTCCCCATTCCCCTGGCATGGGGGCGGTGGGGGCAGACCCTTCCACGGAGCCCCGGGTCATTGAGATGGATGCTAGCAGGGATGGTCCCCTGGGATCTGATGCCCACGGCATTGGGGAAGTGGGGGTGGGCACCCCAAGGAATCTTGAGTCACTGAGTTTGGGTATCCCCAAGAAACGCCTGAGGGGTGATATCAGTGGCTCTGAGGAAGCCGAGGCAGATATTTCTTTTTTTTTTTTTTTTTTTTTTTTTTTGAGATGGAGTCTTGCTCTGTCACCCAGGCTGGAGTGCAGTGGCACGGTCTTGGCTCACTGCAACATCTGCCTCCCGGGTTCAAATGATTCTCCTGCCTCAAACTCCCCAGTAGCTGGGATTACAGGCATGTATCACCATGCCTGGCTAATTTTTGTACTTTTAGTAGGGACGGGGTTTCGCTATATTGGCCAGGCTGGTCTCGAACTCCTGACCTCAGGTGATTCACCCCGCCTTGGCCTCCCAAAGTGCTGGGATTACAAGCATGAGCCACCAGGCCTGGCCTTGGACAGATACTTCTATGGAGTCATGGGTCCCTCCAGTTAAAACCAGCCTGGAGGGAGCCTGAATCCGTGCAGTGGGCCTCAGCAAGGGTGTGCCGTCCACTCCCCACACCAATAGAACATGGATGTCCGCGTGGTGCGGGGCTGCAGCTTCCAGAGCCGCTGGCGGAGGCAGGTGAGCGGCACCGTGCGGGAGAAGTTCGTGCTGCTGGACGGCGAGAGGGTCATCTCAGGATCCTACAGGTGTAGTCCTCGCCCCGCCCCCCACCTCCCAGCGTCCTATACCCCACTTTCCCTCAGTGTGCTCAGAGAACAGCTGGCATCCCCTGCCCAGCCCTCTCTTTTCTCATCTGTGTAATGGGGACAAAACACCCTCCCCTGGGGAGGAGATACGTGCTGCGGCCGGACCCGGTGCTGGTCTGTTTAGTGGTCTTGGGTAAGTCTGCTTCTCTTTGACCTGGTGTTTTCTCATCTGGAAAACTGGGCAAACAGTTTGGGGGTGGATTGGCACTTCGATTGGGGTCTAAGCTCTGCCTTGGGTAAATAACTCCACCTGTCTGAGCATCTAAGAAAATACCCGGGCGTGGTGGCTCAAGCCTGTAATCCCAGCACTTTGAGAGGCCGAGGCAGGCAGATCAGCTGAGGTCAGGAGTTCAAGACCAGTCTGGCCAACATGGTGAAACCCTGTCTTCCCAGCTACTTGGGAGGTTGAGGCAGGAGAATTACTTGAACCCAGGAGACAGAGGTTGCAGTGAGCCGAGATTGCGCTGTCGCACTCCAGCCTGGGAGACAGAGCAAGACTCCGTCTCAAAAAAGCAAAAGAAAAAAGAAAAAAAAAAAAGAAACTGCAAATAATAACAGCACCTACCTCACAGGGTCACAGCACAGTCGGGGAGGAGAGGGGTGTGGGCTCTGGGACCAGACGGCCTGGATTCAAATTCTAGCTCTGTCAGTTCCCCGTTGTGTGACTTCAGGCGACTTACTTCACCTCTCTGTGCCTCAGTTTCCCCCTCTATGTCACGGGGCTGATAGGGTTAGAGCCTCTAGAAGCAGGTCCCTCAACAGGGGTAGCATCCACACTTGGGCTGGCTGAGTCTTCGTTGCGGGGGCTGTTGGGTACACTGTGGGAGGCTGCTTGGCATCTTCTGCCTTGACCCAGCAGAGGTCAGTAGCATCACACGCCCAGTACCCCCAGCTTTCCCTGCCAATTAGAGAACCGAAAACCTCTCCAGACAGCAAAGATGCCCGCTGGGGAGCACAGGTGCCTAGCTGAGAACACTGGTCAGGAACAGTAGCTTTCAACCCTGTGCATGCACCAGAATCCCTGGGAGCACTTGTTAAAACACAGATTTGGGCTGGGCATGGTGGCTTACACCTGTAATCCCAGCACTTTGGGAGGCCAAGTCGGGCAATCACCTGAGGTCAGGAGTTCAAGACCAGCCTGGCCAACATGGTGAAACCCCATCTCTACAAAAATACAAAAATTAGCCAGGATGATGGCGGGTGCCTGTAATCCCGGCTACTCAGGAGGCTGAGGCAGGAGAATCACTTGAACCCAGGAGGCAGAAGTTGCAGCGAGCCGAGATCATGCCACTGCACTCCAGCCTAGGCGACAGAACAAGACTCCGTCTCACAAACACAAAAACAAAAACAAAAACAAAACAAAAAAACCACACAGCTTTTGTAGCAGATAATTCAGGAAAAGGAAGAGGAAAAAGAAAAATGGCTGGGCGTGGTGGGTCACACCTGTAATCCCAGCACTTTGGGAGCCCAAGGCAGTGGATCACCTGAGGTCAGTTTGGTGAGGAGTTTGAGACCAGCCTGATCAACACGGTGAAACCCTGTCTCTACTAAAAATACAAAAAATTAGCCAGGCATGGTGGCGTGCACCTCTAGTCCCAGCTACTCGGGGGCTGAGGCTGGAGAATCGCTTGAACCGGGGAGGTGGAGGTTGCAGTGAGCCGAGATCGCACCATTGCACGATTACACTCCAGCCTGGGTGACCAAGCAAGACTCTGTCTCAAAAAAAGAAAAAAAAAGGAAAAGAAAAAGAAAACGGAAAAAGACTGGGCATGGTGGTTCACGTCTGTAGTCCCAGCATTTTAGGAGGCTGAGGCTGGAGGATCACTTGAGCCCAGGACTTCGAGACCAGCCTGGGCAACATAGCAGGACCCCATCTCTACAAAAATTTAAAGAAATAAAAATTAGTCAAGCATGATGGAGCATGCTTGTAGTCCCAGCTACTCAGGAGGCTGAGGTGGGAGGATCACTTGAGCCTAGGAGGTGGAGGCTGCAGTAAGCCAAGATTGCACCACTGCACTCCAGCCTGGGCAGCAGAGCAAAACCCTGTTTCACAAAGAAAAAAAAAAAAAAAGAGAAAGAGAAAACAATACACAGCTTTTGGACCCCACTCCCATTCATCGTGCCTGGAACAGGGCCTGAGAATCTGCATTTTTAGTAAGTTCCCACTTGATACTGCTGCTGTATCTGGTCCAGGGACCACACTTTGAGAACCCACTAGAGTTGAGACCGGAATGTTTGAAATGTTTGAAAGAGTGTTTACCTTCCCAGCTTTGTGTGAGGATTCCGTGGCACGTAACATAAGACAGTCTTGGCCGGGTGCCATGGCTCACACCTGTAATCCCAGCACTTTGAGAGGCTGAGGTGGGAGGATCACTTGAGCCCAGGAATCTGAGACCCCCCGGACAACATAGCTGGATCTTATCGCTACAAAAAGGAAAAAAAAAAAAAAAAAAAAACAAAGGAAAAGGAAAAACAAAGAATGCTCCATGAACATCAGCTGTCATTTATTATGAGATATATATATATATGTATATATATTTTTTTTACCGTATTTCATGGACTCTAAGGTGCCACCAATGGAGAGAAGCATCGTGATTGAAACGTGAGAAGCTCTGCATCTTAGAACCGGTAGAATAGAGTATTACAATCAAACCCACAGGCCGTGCTCCTCTGCCGCTCAATCAGGCCTGGGGGTGCTTCCCTGAACACCGGGCTCCTGGTGGACAGCCTTAGAAGGGATGAAGCCAGGGCCGCAAGAGGTTGTCCAGGGCCTCTCTGGCCATTTAGTGGGAGAAGGAGACGGGGACGTGAGGAGTGGCAGATCTGGGAGAACAGTCCCAGGCCTCGTCCTCCCTGTTGGTCACAGCAAACGTGAAGGGAGCAGCATACCCAGCCCCAGTGCCAGGCTGGTGGTGGCCCCCACCGTCTGGCTGCTCGAGGAGCCCAGAGCTCTGTTACACAGGCGGCCGCTGCAGCAGGTGGTGGTGAGGCTGTAGGTGACGCCCCTGTAGCTGACAGGTTCCTCCCGGCCGCAGCTGGTGGCTCGAAGGCAGCCTTTGTTGATGACCGGACCGGTGCCTGGGGCGATCCCCCGGCCTGTGAAGCAGTCCTCGTCATCACCACAGCGCATGGAGGTGCCGGGACACTGCGTGGAGTCGGTGAGCTCACAGAAGATGCACTCCTTGACGCCCGTCGTGCCTGGGGGCAGAGCCATCACCAGAAGCAGCAGCCAGCACAGGACCATGGCGGCCTGGCGGCGTTGACGCTGCCCCAGCCAGGCCGTGGGCTTCCTAGGCCTCCCGGAACTGCTGAATGAAGGACCTCCGAGGACTCCTCCTGCCCACGGGACTTTGGCCCTGGTCCTGGCCTCCCAGGGTCAGCGCCTGGAGTGTCCTCTGTTCCCAATGCCCTGTGTCCCTCTAAGTCCTGGGGATGGAGGTGAGCTGGTGGCTGCTGTCTGACAAGAGTCTGTGAATGGAATGAGTGATCTCACAGATCCCTCAGGGTTCCCACTGGCTGCTCTGGGGATGAGGTCATAGGTGAGAGGAGGGGGTGTCACAATCCAAGGGGTAGCCTGTCCCGCCAACCTGCCAGGGCGCAAGAGGGCTCTGCCACCTCCGCCAAGGTGAAGATGCCCTGAACCCAGAGAATGCTGGCCGCAAGCTTATCCACATTCTCTGTGCTGTACCCACCAAGGGCTTGACTTCAGCCTCATACCTCCCATGGTGACCCCATTTTCCAGACGGGCAAACCGAGGCTGGGGAAGGGAAAGTGATGTATCTGGGGTCCCCGAGTCAGGATGAGAGCCAGGTTCATTGAATTCCAAAGAGGCTGGGAAAAAAGAGGGAGTATTAACTGAGCATTTACTGTGTGCCAGGATTCATGCTCAGTGCTGGCTTGCTTTTATTTTATTTATATTTTTTGAGACGGAGTCTCACTCTGTCACCCAGGCTGGAGTGCAGTGGTGTGAACTCAGCTCACTGCAGCTTCTGCTTCCCAGGTTCAAGCGATTCTCGTAACTCAGCCTTCCAAGCGGTTGGGACTACAGGGGCGTGCAAGCACATCTGGCTAATTTTTGTATTTTTAGTAGAGACAGGGTTTCACCATGTTGGCCAGACTGGTCGCGAACTCTTGAGCTCAAGTGATCTGCCTGCCTCGACCTCCCAAAGTGCTGGGATTACAGGCGTGAGCCACCGCGCCACACCTGGCCCTTGGTGCTTTCAATAACTACTGTGATGACAGGAAGTGTTAGGGCACTGGCTCCCACAGCTCACAGGCTCTCAGCGGTGGCCACGTGCAAGGGGCTTGACCCGTGTTCAGTCATTTGAATCTTCCTATGTTTTATTTATTTTTTAATTTAATTTTTGTTTTTAAAGTTGGCTGGGCACAGTGGCTCACAACTGTAATCCCAGCACTTTGGGAGGCCAAGGTGGGTGGATCACCTGAGGTCAGGAGTTCAAGACCAGCATGGCCAACATGGTGAAACCCCGTCTCTACTACAAATACTAAAAATACAAAAGTTAGCTGGGCGTGGTGGTGGGCACCAGTAATCCCAGCTACTCGGGAGGCTGAGGCAGGGAGAATTGCTTGAACCTGGGAGGTGGAGGTTGCAGGGAGCCAAGATTGTGCCACTGCACTTGAGCCTAGGCAACAGAGCAAGACTCCATCTCAAAAAAAAAAAAAAAGAAACAAAAAAAGGATCTTGCCCTGTGGCCTAGGCTGGAGTGTAGTGGCGCGATCTTGGCTCACTGCAGCCCTGACTTCCCAGGCTCAAGTGATTCTCCTCCCTGAGCCTCCAGAGTAGCTGGGACTATAGGGGTGCACCACCATGCCCGGCTAATTTCATAAAATTTTTTGTAGAGATGGAATCTTGCTACATTGCCCAGGTTGGTCTCAAACTTCTAGCCTCAAGCAGTCCTCCCGCCTCAGCCTCCCAAGGTGCTGGGATTACAGGCGTAGCCACCGCACCCGGCCTTCCTAGGTTTTGGCTCCATATTGCAGATGAGCACTGCAGGGAGCAGCAACATGGAGAGCTTGGTGCACAGCCAGGGCTGACTAGATGGCAGTCATTCTAGGAAGCAGCTGGGTCTTAAAACAATCCCTTTTAGTGTCCAGAAGTGAATTCCATCTCTTTCCAAAGGGGAAAACTGAGGCATTCAGGTGTTCCTAAGTGGGGACCAGGTAGAGCCTGGGTTTAAACTCCAGTCTGATTCTAGATAAGTTTTTTGTTTTGTTTTGTTTCGTTTTGAGTCAGAGTCTCGCTCTGTCGTGCAGATTGGAGTGCAGTGGTGTGATCTCAGCTCACTGCAACCTCCGCCTCCCGGGTTCAAGCAATTCTCCTGCCTCAGCCTCCTGAGTAGCTGGAATTACAGCATGCACCACCATACCCAGCTAATTTCTGTATTTTTAGTAGAGATGGGGTTTCACCATGTTGGTCAGGCTGGTCTCAAACTCCTGACCTCATGATCTGCCTGCCTCAGCCTCCCAAAGTGCTGGGATTACAGGCGTGAGCCACAGTGTCCTTTTTTTTTTATTTTTTATTTTTGCGGGGCGGGGAAGGGTCTTGCTCTGCTGCCCAGGCTGGAATGCAGTGGTATTATCACAGCTCACTGCAGCCTCAATTTCCCAGGCTCAGCAGGGCGCAGTCACTCACGCCTGTAATCCCAGCACTTTGGGAGGCTGAGGCAGGTGGATCACCTGAGGTCAGGGCTTCGAGACCAGCCTGACCAACATGGTGAAACCCCATCTCTACTAAAAATACAAAAAATTAGCCGGGCATGGTGGCAGGCGCCTGTAGTCCCCAACTACTCAGGAAGCTGAGGCAGGAGAACTGCTTGAACCCGGGAGGCAGAGGTTGTAGTGAGCCGAGATCATGCCATTGCACTCCAGCCTGGGCAACAAGAGCAAAACTCCATCTCAAAAAAAAAAAAAAAAGATTTCCAGGCTCAAGGGATCCTCCCACCTCAGCCTCCCAAGTGGCTGGGAGTACAGGTGTGCGCCACCACAGCTGGCTAGTTTTTTTATTTTTTGTAGAGACAGAGTCTCCCCATGTTGCCCAGGCTAGTCTCAAACTCTTGGGCTCAAGCAACCCTCCTGCCTCAGCCTCTCAAAGCGTGAGTCACTGCGCCTGGCCCCGATTAGATAAGTGTCTTTACTTGGGCTGTCTTCACTCCATCCCACCCCGGTACATACTTCAGTTGTCCCCATTCTACAGACGGGGAAGCTGAGGCTGGAGAGGTCAGGACTCGCCTGAGGTCCTACCGCCTCCCCTGGGACCTGGCTGGGGATGAGGGCGGGGCTGGGCCCTCAGGGTTGGAGACCCTGATCCCCCTGCTCCCCAACCCCCAGCTTCACGTGGAGTGACGCACGTCTGCACCGAGGCCTGGTGACCCTGCTGACCGGTGAAATCGTCGACGCCTTCAGCCTTGAGTTCCGGACGCTGTACGCGGCCTCCTGTCCGCTCCCACCTGCGCCCCCCCAGGATCCCTCGGTCACGGGGGGCCTGCAGCGGGGCCGCAGCCCGCACCGCGTGTCCCGCCGTCGCTCCGTGGCCCCCGCGTCGCCCCCGCCGCCTGACGGCCCGCTGGCCCACCGCCTGGCCGCCTGCCGCGTCTCCCCTGCCGCCCCGGGGCCCGCACTCAGCGACATCCTAAGGAGCGTGCAGCGCGCCCGGACCCCCAGCGGCCCCGCGACCCGGCCCAGCCGCTCCCTGTGGGACCTAAGCCGCCTGTCCGAGCTGTCTGGCTCCAGTGATGGAGACAACGAGGTGAGATTTTGTGGCTGGTGCCAGAAGAGCATGGAGCCCAGGAAGGGGAAGGCGTTTGCCCAGGGTGGTGCAAGCCAGGCTCCAGGGGCCCTGCTCCCAGCCATAGAGCCCGAAGCGTTTCCTGAGGGCCTGCGCCGCTAAATTCCTAATAGCGTCGTTTGTTGACTTGCTGCATGCTGGGCAGGTGGGCGCTGGGTGGCATGGGGCAGAGACAGGAGAGCCCTGGGTGCAAATCCTGGCATGACACACTAGGTGGGGGGAAGCCGAGGACCTGACTTCTCTGAACCTCAGTATCCCCATCTAGGAACGGGCGGAGCAAGGGCATTCATTCTGAGTTTGGTTGAGGGAGGAATCCACATGGCTAAATAAAAATAGAGTAGTAATGATAACAACAATACATTCCTGAAACAAGGAGTTGGAGACCAGCCTGGCCAGCATGGTGAAACCCTGTCTGTACTAAAAATACAAAAAATTTAGCTGGGTGTGGTGGTGCACACCTGTAGTCCCAGCTTTCGGGAGGCTTAGGCAGAAGAACTGTTTGAGCCAGGGAGGTGGTGGTTGCAGTGAGCTGAGATCGTTCCACTGCACTCTAGCCTGGGCGACAGAGCGAGACTGTCTCAAAAAATAAATAATAATAAACAATAAATAACTTCCTGAAGTGGAATTTATTTATTTTGTGATATCCTCATCCCAGGCCAGGAAGGCTGGGAGATAGATATATTTGAGACAGGGTCTTGCTCTGCAGTGTCCTGGGAATCAGGAATCATCTCCCTCCATCCCAGACAAGGAAGGCTCCTAGCTGGAGAGGAGATGGGGGATGGGCAGGGGCAAGGTCCTCACCTTCACCTGGTCCTGAGCACCCTCACCCAGCATCCCCTCCCTTGGCAAATATTTGCTCCCGGCTGGCAGATGCCAGCGCTGCTGGTTCCTCCCCAGCTGCAGAGGTGGGGACCCAGTTCCTTGCCCCTCTGTAGGTTAGGGGGTCCCAGGCTTGCCCTCTCACTTCCCCCCTTCCCTCTCGGGCTCCCCACACCGTCCTCCTTGCCTGCCTCCTCCTCTGCATCCCTCTCCTTTCTGTCCCTCCTCCTGCTGCCTTCCTGCTGCTTCTTGCTCATGTCGTCCTTCACCTTTCACCCCCTCTGTCTACTCTCTCTCCTTCTTGGCTCCCCTCCTCCCTCCTCTCCTTCTTTCTCCTCCCTCACCTTCTCCCTTACCCCTTCCTCTTCTTTTACCTCCCTACCTTTTTTTTTTTTTTTTGGAAACAGGGTCTCGCTCTGTCTCCCAGACTGGAGTACAGTGGCATGATCTCAGCTTACTGCAGCCTCAACCTCCTTGGCTCAAGCAATCCTCCCACCTCAGCTTTCCAAGTAGCTAGGATTACAGACCCATGATACCACGCCTGGCTAATCTGTGTGTGTGTGTGTGTGTGTGTGTGTGTGTGTGTGTATATGTGTGTGTGTGTTTTGAGACAGAGTTTCACTCTTGTTGCCCAGGCTGGAGTGCAATGGTGTGATCTCAGCTCACCACAACCTCTGCCTCCCGGATTCAATGATTCTCCTGTCTCAGCATCCTGAGTAGTTGGGATTACAGGCATGCACCACCACACCTGGCTAACTTTGTATTTTTAGTAGAGGTAGGGTTTCTCCATGTTGGTCAGGCTGGTCTCGAACTCCTGACCTCAGGTGATCCGCCCACCTCAGCCTCCCAAAGTGCTGGGATTACAGGCATGAGCCACTACACCCAGCCTAATTTTT